ACGTGGTGCTCAGCGGCCTCCTGGGCAAGTTGTTCCCCGGCCCCGCACGGGCGTCGCAACTCCGGCACGAGGGCAACCGGCTGTACCGCGAGCGCCAGGTGGAGGCGGCGTTGCTCAAGTACAACGAGGCGGTTCGCCTGGGTGAGCCCACCGCGTCGCCGGGCCGGGCCGGCCGGGGGAATGAACGCGGCGGGGGGTTGGGGGGCGGGCCGGGGCCGAGGGGGGCGCGGGGGACCGTTGGGGGACCGTTGGGAGGGCGGGCGGGCCGTGACCTGAGTGGGGGAGGGGTGTCTGGAGTTCGGTCTCTGACTTGGTCTCTGTCGCTACCAATTTATCGCCCTTTCTCTGTGTCCCTGCCTGTCTCTGTCGCTCTATGTCTTTTTCCGTGTCTCCTCGTGGCTTGAATTCCCGAGTCCCTCCGTCAGCGTCTGTCTGGGTCACTGTTTGTCCGTCTCCTTCGCATCTCTGTCTCCCCCCCCCCGCCCCGTCTCTTGCGCGGGGTCGCGCGGCCCCTTGTCCCTCCGCCCTCTGCCTCCGCGCGCCGGAGCTCCTCTCGCACCTGCCTGCACCTTGCCGGCGGGCGGAGGAACTTCGCACCCTGCCCACACCCGCGCCGGGGCCGCCGGGCTCCCGCCGGGCAGCGACGTTCGGTCGGCGCGGGCGTCTGCCGCTCGCGCCCGGCCCGGGGCCGCCGCCGCGGCGGGAGTCGGCCCTTCCGGGGCCGCGGCTCCCGGTGGGGTGGGTCCGGCGTGGAATTAGGTCAGGAGAGCACTGGTTGCATAAGGGCCGCGAGCGGCCCGGGCCGGGCGGCCCCTCCTCCGCGCGGGCGGGATTGTGTAACGGCTGAGGTAACCGAAGTGGGCCACGCTCGCCTCGGAAACCATCCCGCGAGCGTGTGCGGAGGGGGGGGGAGGGGAGCGTTCGCGCCCCGCTGCCCTGTGACTCATTGTCACCGCTTCCTATCACACGATCCTCGGCTGAAATAGATGCCCCCCCCCACCCCGCCCGCAGCCTGCGCCCTCTCCTCGAACCCCTACCCCGCCAGCCCGGCGGGCGACCGGGCGGCGCAACTGCTCGGGGATCCCCGGGGACCGCGGGCTGGCTACGGAGGGGGGCACCCCTCGGGCCCCGCCCAGCTGCCGCGCTGCGGGAGGAAGGACGGGTGGGCTTGGCAGCCTCAAGGGCAAACGTGGGCAGCCCCAGGGCTCCGGCCGCACCGGGGCGCCAGAGCTCCCTCGAGGAGCGGCCCCCGCCGACCCTCCGCGTCCCGACCCAGGAAGTGGCAGCGGAGCCGCGGGCCGGTAGTGCCCAGCTCGGGCCAGCCGCCGGGAGCTCGGCCGGCGGGGCGCGGCGTCTGGCGGAGCGTGCCGGGGAGGAGGCGGCAGCGCCGGGCAGGCGGGGGCTCTGGGGATCCCAGGGTGTCCTGAGCCCGACTCCGACGGGTCGGAGGAGGGGGTGGGCTCGAGGCTCCACGTGTTGACTTGCTTACCCGAATTTGCAACAGGTAGTGGAGGGGGAGGAGCGCGGGCTGGCGGTGCAAGGTTGCAGGGCGAGGTAGAGGAGGACCCTTCCCCCCACGCACATCCTGTGCGCAGGCAAGGCACACTGTGAGCCGGCACCGGGCTGGCAAGTGCTGCAGAACAAAAGGGATAGCATACACTGTAAACTCTGCTAACGTCCGGAGAGCAAGGAATGGGCACCCAAGTAAGTCCTCTGCACAGCCTTGGGGAAAAACCCCACGAATCGTGTTCCAGCAGCCGCAGCTGGACCCCGGTCCCCGGGCAGGAGCGGGGCAACCTGGAGACAATGGAGGTCACTTAAACCCAGATCTCCAAGGGAGGTTCCATTCCTTTCAGCCATACCTCAAGGGCCAGGAAAGCCCCTTCCCGCTGTCTTCTTCCCCCTTTGTTGCTGCCACCGCTTTTCCCCTGGGAGTTTCTTCCTTCATTTTTGTTAATCTGAGCGGTCAGGGTGAAAAAAAAAATCATGACGGACTTACCTTCTTAAGAGGTACGGGGCCTCCCCAGCAGGCGAGTATCTCTGTGCTGGAAGATGGCCAGTGTCCCCTTATTATTCTATGTAGTGCACACCCTTCAGAAAAAGGAACATCTCCCCCGCCCCAGCTTCAAAGCTTCAAAGGCTGACCAGCTAGCTCTAGGACTTGGAGCAGATGCCATCTGCTCCCTGGGCTTGATTTTCCTCATCTGAAGAATGGATTGATTGAGCCAGGTGATCTCTAAAGGCCGGTCCAGCCCTGGCACCTAGTGATTGAAAGTGTTAGTGAGAGCCGAGCTCACTTCATTCCCAGCAGCCTTGTTTAGGTTCACTCACATTTGGCCATCTAATGAGAGGATGGAGCCTTGCAGGTGCATTCAGAGAAACTTCATAGGCCCTGGGCTTTGTAGACAGAGGTGTTGCTAATGTCATGAGAAGACTATCCTGGACTTGTCTTCCTGGTGGGCAGGATGGGGGTCACATCTGGCCACCTCCCTTTCCCTCCTCCCTGGCCTGTTTCCTTGTGGGTGATACCTCACTCAGAAGCCAGGCTGCCAGTTGGTAGCCACGCATAGCCTCGAAGTAGGGGGCCAAGGGTTTCCTCTATGTCAGAGTGGCTAATGCACCACTGACCCCACAGGCCCTCTAAGGAACTGCTTGAGAAAGGAGAAAAAATTAGTTCTTTATGCGGCGCCTGGATGGCTCAATTGGTTAAGCGTCAGATTCCTGATTTCAGCTCAGGTCATGATCTCAGGGTTGTAAGATGGAGCCCTGGGTGTGGAGCCTGCTTGGGATTCTCTCTCTCCCTCTCCCTCTGCTCTCCTTTCTCTGTCAAAAAATAAAAAATAAATAAAAATAAACTTAAAAAAATACTTCTTTATAGTTGGGGAAGCTCAGACCCAGAGTGGCGGGGGTTGGGGGGCGGTGGCAGGCAGGGCGATATCAGGGCTGGAAATGGAGCCTAACCCTTTGGATCCCCAGTAGAAAAATCCGAGATAACTTGCCATTTGCTCAAGATCCGTTCTCATACAGGACTTATGTTTTTGCGTTGAGACCATTAATGAGAGCTTTTTTTTTTTTTCCCCTCATTCTGGCAGCTCCAAATGACCACTTGCTTTATAGCAACCGGTCTCAAATTTATTTCACCTTGGAGTCTCATGAGGACGCACTGCATGATGCAGAAATAGCATGTAAGCTCCGCCCAATGGGTTTTAAGGTGAGTGGAATGGGAGGGATGGGAATGGCTTGTCCTATAGACAAGAATTGGCAGGAGGGGCTGCCTCCCTGAGGGTTCGGGGCACTAGAGCTCAAGCAGAGCAGGGAAAGGGCTTTGCTAAGGAGCTGGGGGTCCCTGGCAAAGGGTGACTCAGGGGTCTGCAAGGGAACTGGATTCTTCCCCAGTTTTCTTTTCCACCTGATGACTGCAGAGCCGCTTAGGCTTTGTGACTCTTCAGAACATGGACTTAGCAGTCAGACCGCCTGAGTTTATGCCCCAGCTCTGCTACTTCTACCAGCTGTGTGGCCCTGGGCAGGTTGCTTGACCTCTCTGTGCCTCATCTCCTCACCTCTAAAATTGGGAGGGGGGATATTCAAAGCACCTACTTAACAGGGTTCCGTTGTGAGGATTACATGAGCTAATACATGTAAGACGCCTAGAACAATGCCTGGCACATAGCATTATGTGTTCTATCATTTTCAGGGACAATAATAGAAAGAGGAACACGAGAGAAGTATAAGTATTGCTGGCTGGTTGCGTTATTTCAAGTCCTTAATATGATCAGCCTGCTGGTATCCCCAGACATCTAGGTCACATGAAGGCGTGGTCAGAGAAAGGCTAGGCACCTCTCAGGATGCTAGGATGCAAAGTGTCACTTTCTGCATCTCTGGCCTTAGGACTGGCCCTTAGCCACGTGTCAATATTTTGTTTAGGAGATTAGGTTTGAGCCTGGGCTCTACTACTTGCAAGTTAAGTGACCATGGGGAAGTCGCTTCACTCTCTGGACCCCAAGCGTCCTTCGTTGCAAAGCACAGCTATTGCTGTCTGCCCCACTTGCCTCCTGCGGAATGTGGTGTGAGGGTCACTGGTGAGCATGATCAAGAGGCCATTCTGGGAGCTCTGCCGTTTGCTAGGCCTTGGTGCAGTGTTCTCTCTACACAACCCCCAGGATGCCACCTCGGAAACCCAACCTACCCAGGTCCTGATCTGTGATCCCTTATCTGAATCCCATGGGGCCAGAAGTGTTCAGAGCCCAGAACGTTTCTGATTTCAGAAAGACCATACACCAGGTGGCACCTTCAGTGAGCTCTGGACAGCATCTCACAATCATACACACTAATATTTCTGCCGTACATTACATGAAAATTCACACTAAGTGAAATAAAGACTATGATGTATTCTATATCATATATATTTGCCACCTAATGACTTTTGATGCCAAGCTTATGAAACTTTGGATTATCAGACTGTTTCTGGAATTGGGAACCTCAGATAAAGCATTTATGGACCTGCACACTGGGCCATTAGTGTCAGAGTGAATCTCTTATGTGCTTCAATGAGAAGGTTTTCATGGGTTATGGCAGTAGTATGTCCTCCTTCCCAAGGAACAGATTTACAGTTTACTAAAAGTCACCAGTGTCTTGACCCAGAGGAGGTTCAGTGAGACCATTTTGTGCTTTATAGCAGTGCAGGTCAGGAAGCTGCCTGGGGGTAAGAGGATTTCTCTTGCAGCTTCTTCTGCTCCCACCCTAAACCTAGGGCCTAAGGGTGGGAGTCTTCATAGTACAGTGGGAAACAGGGCTGAGGAGTAGTAGACCTTTTCAGATAAAATGGGAAAAGTGACTTCCCCAGTGAAATCAGACTTGGTGGAAGGAGTAAATAGGAGTTTCATTTCCCCAGAGTGCTAGGGTAAGCGGAGAGGCAGTGCAGAGAATGAACGGTATTGTCTTGAGGGTTGAGAGAAGATTTGAACTGATGCATATGATTCAAAACCAGCCCATACTCCGATTTGCATACTTCCCACCATTTCTTTGTGCAATGCCCCTAGGGGAGGGCTGTACCTCCGGCAGCCCTAGTCCAGCCAGTCCAGCCAGGCTCAGTGGTACTCAACACATCCTGCAGGTGGGTGGGCTGGCTGCCCTGAGCAGGTGGAGTATATGGGTTGCTATTTGGTATGATTGGAGGGGCCCTAGAGGCCTCTCCAGTCTCCCAACACTTATCCCCTCTAGCTGCCCTGAAATGTCATGCAAGCCTTTCTCCAGGCGGCCTCTGGTAAACGCTGCTGGGAGGAGCAATGAAGGAAGCCATCAGCACCCAAATATCAGCCAAGATTAGGCTCCAGGAAAAGGGTGGGGGTACAGGGGAGGACCTCAAGAGGTTTGGAGCAGGGGTCACAGCTCAAGAAGGCAGATCCCTGCTGGTGGAGCCTGTAGCCAGGTGGGAGCCAGAGGGCACCGCCCCAGGGCCTGTAGAAGCATGTTAGGAGGGGAAGCTGGGAGTGCCCAGCAGCTGCAACCTGGATCATTTCCTTCTCTAAGTTAGACTCAGGGTCAGCCGTGGAGGCAAGGGAGTGGGGAGCAGGCCCCCGAGGGGCATCCTAACTGACTCAAGAGTAATGCCCTCCCAGCCAAGTTGCAAAGGCCACCTGTCCCAAGGCACAAGAGAGAATGTAGCCCTCCTCCCACCTCTTTTCTTGTTCCTCCCTCTTCCCCAAGAGGCTCTTCTGCTACCTCTAGAGATTCTCTGCTGGGGCAGCTGGGCGGGGACCCCGGAGAGCCCCAAAACTTCTTTATACCTTTTTTTTTAAAGATTTGTGGGGGAAGGGGCAGAGGGAGAGAATGTTCAAGCAGACTCCCGCCAAGCAGGGAGCCGATGCAGGGCTAGATCTCACAAGCCGGGAGTTCAGGACCTGAGCTGAATCCAAGAGTCAGATGCTTAACCAACTGAGCCACCCAGGCGCCCCTAAAACTTCTTTACACTTTTTAAAGATGTGGGAAGGGAACAGAAGTGAGCTGAGCCCACAGGAGGGAAAGCATTTGCTCAGTCCCTGGTTAGCCCTTTGAAGGGAAGTCAGCTTTGTGGGGAAGAGCATTCTTGGGGTCCTAGACCACAGTTCTAGTTCCAGCTTTTCCACTAACTACCTTGAGGTCTTGGAGAGGTCATGTCCTTTCCCTTGGGCCTCTTCTGAAAAATGATCAGCAAGTATAGGCAATCACCCAGCCAGTAATGTGGACTAGGTCTTTGCTTGACAGACTAGTTAATAGAAAGGCCTATCTGGGTGGGTTCTGGACGCTGGATAGTATGTGCTTAAAGGAGGGTTCTTGCTACATTTGGCAATACCTCCAACACAACAGTGGGGCAGCGGGGAGGTTGTATGGCACAGTGGTTAAGAAATTGGACTTTGGTAACAGTCAGTCCCAGACTTAAACCTTGATTCCACAATTTACCAGCTGTGTTCCTTTGGGCAAGTCACTTTTCTGGGTCTCAGTTTCATCTTCCCTAAAATGGGCTTCAGAACATTTACCTACAGATAGGGCTGTAGATAAGGTAGACCTTCTAAAACCTTCACAGAGTAATGAATACTCACTAAGTGTTTGGCTAGTGTCAATAAGTCAGTAGGTGAATAAGAACAGGATTGAATGCTAATGTTTTCTTCCAGGCACACTTCAGAAAAGCACAAGCCTTAGCCACCTTAGGCAAGGTGGAGGAAGCACTAAGGGAGTTTCTATATTGTGTGTCCCTCGATGGAAAGAACAAAAGAGCAAGATCTGAAGCCCAGAGGGTGAGTTGAGATGATGTCAGGTCCAACTGCCCAGTGGGCTCCCACTTCCCTGTCTTCTCCAAGGAGGGGAGTGAGGGAACTGCCCTTCCTGGCATTTAGGGCCCTGAGTGGGTGGCTCCCTTGGTTAAGGGGGCAGGAAGGAGACACAAGTGCCAAATGCCTAGAAACACCATCCTCTTGGCATATGTAATCAGATTGAGCAGTTCCTGCATTTTTGGAGGAGCCTCTGAGGAATGTTCTTGCTTCTTAGATTCAGGGTCTGGGCTGTGAGTAGGAAAACCAAAGCAAAGCAAAGCAAAGCAAAGCAAACAAGTTAACATGGGGGTGGAGGCTCACTGCTGAGAATCTGGCTGTTGATGAGAGGTCAGGGGTGTGGGGCTGCCTGCAGTTGTAGAACTTTGCTTTGGCTGAGTCACAGCTTCACCAGCCATACAGGGCAGCCAGCTCCTCGCCAGGAATGTTGGTCACCCTCTCCCCTGCTATATGCAGAACTCCAGCCTTCAGCCTTTGCTAGAAATAGAACACACACTGTCTCACAAATGTAAGTCAGGGACCATTACGATATAATCCAAGCAGTCATTCTGACTCCTGAATCCCAGGAGAATGTGGTTCTTTTGTTTTGCTTTTTAATTCATGAAATGTTAGCCCTGGTGAAGGGCTCAAGCGTCCTCAGTTCATGAACTGCTTTGCTTACTGTTCCACAGTGTGCTTTCATGGTGTGTGGCTAATTGGCCCGGAAGTTGGATGCTGACAGTCAGTGGTGGCCTCTGCCCTCCCCGTGCCCCTCCCGCTATTCACCACCTGTCTCAAGTGCCTCTGTCCCAGTGAGGTTTGGCAGAGCCATGGATGAAGGAAGGGAGCAAGAGACCGGATTGGTTTCTGAAGTCTCCAGAAAGGAATCTTTAGCAAAATCAGTGAACTAGGGGGAAGCCAAGCTCTGGAGGTTGCGCCTCGCACAGATTTCTTCTCTGGAAAGTTGCTTTGACCTGGTTTGGGAAAGTGGACAAGGTGTTCTTGAGAGGAGTACTGGTGGCAGAGAATTGCTCCAGGCTATGAACCCTTCCCTGCATCTTAAGTGTAGTCCATGGTGTAAATAATAGTAATAACAGCTAACATTTATCGAGCATTTCCAGTGCACCAGGCACTGTGCTAGGGCTCTCTGTGGAGAATATAATTTAATCCCCACAACATCCCTATAAGGGTAGCTGATGTTGTTTATCCCCATGTTACAGATGAGATAGATAAGGAAGCTGAGACTTGGTGACTTCCCGAGACCATGCAGCTGGTGATTGGTGAAAGGGCACGTAAACCCAACTCCATCTGCTTCCAGAGTCTGCCTTCTTAGCCATTCCACTATTCTTCTGTCCCAGGAGGACATGCCAGGGGCCTTGGCGCTCACTGCTGGGGTGGGGTGGAGAGTAGCAGTGGGACCATCTGGTTCTGGGGGTGGGGGATGGACAGAGGTTGGTTAGAAGAATCTTGACTTTAGGGGCAGAGTGTGCAAAGGCCAACAGAGGCAGGTGTCAGATCCAGGGGTGAGTGGTTTCTTTCCTCCTATTCGTCCATTTCCTACTTGGCCTGAGAGGCTCTGGTGTCATCAGTTGGGTTGACCTCTCTCTCCAGCCACTTTTAGAGACCAGCTAGTGTCACTTCCACAACCACCTAATGGGAAGGGGCAAGGTGCTGTGCTAAGCTCTGAAGACCCAACGAGGCATAAGCCACAGTCTCCGTCCTCAAGGACCTTCCAATCCTGCATGTGTTACACAGCACCCTATAAATGCCAGAGAATACAAGGGAGCAGATGCCCATAATGAGTGTCCTGAAGTTCTGAAGCAGGGCCAAGAATTTAGAGGCAAATTCCCACTGACCGTGATGAGGGCACGGCAGCCATATACGAAACACTGAGGGCCCTCAGCAGTTCTTATTTACTGTACCGTTCCAGTTTCAGGGCTGAAGATTTGACAAAGATGGTCCAGCTTCACTTGGCAGTAATTAGCTACCTTAGGCACTCCCAGGCCTAGGTTTCTTTTTAGTGTTTGTTTTTACCTCGGATTCTTTCTTTTCCCCCTTCTTGACTCATTCGGGTCTTGCTAAGGCTGACACTGAAGTGGAATTGACTTTCATTCACGTGGAATGATTATTCTCACTGAGCGTTGACCCCAACTTTTGTTTTCCAAAGGTCTAGAATGAGGTCTTAGGTAGTAAAGGTAAGAAGTGAAGTGCTGTTGCTGTTTCTGCCTTGTCTCCTTCAATTTCTCCCCTCTGCCTCCCTTCCCACCCCCCTCCGTGCTCTGCCCTTTTAACCTTGTCCCTTGGGATGCTGTCTGTGTGGCTGCCACTGAAGAGCACCATGCTCTCTTTTCGAAAGTTTTTATCTCAATTCCAGTTAGTTAACATACACTGTTATATTAGTTTCAGGTGTACAACTAGTGATTCAACAATTGCATACATCACGCGGTGCTCCTCACGACAAGCAAGCACCGTGCTCTTTGGGGGAGAATTCCAGGGAGACTGCTTCAGAAGTGGGTTGGTCCTGTTGGGCCACTCAGGAGGGCTTCTGAAGGCCAACTTTGGTTCCTCAGGAGGAGGGGCCTCTGAAAGCTGGCATTTATGACCCTGGGCACTGTGAGTACCTCCCCACCTCACTCCTTTACCGACAACTTAGACCTGGGAAGTGGGTTTCCCAGAACTGGACGGAAAGTGCGATCTGTCTGAGGACTTTGGGCTTAAACACTCGGGCCTCTGCCTGGGCCCTGGGATGGATAAGTGTCTTAATTCAATTCCATCCGGGGTGATGAGTATGCATTGGACGTCTGCCATGGGCCTCCAGAAGCTGGCCATCTGGTTAGAGAGAAAGACTTACGTGTGCGGCACTATTCTGAGACCAGGGCGAGACTGTGTAGTATAAGGTGCTCCATTATGTGCAGTAGAGAACACGAACTGGACCGGTGACATCAGGGGGCTAGAGTTGTAGCACCGGAGCTAGCCTTGGAGACTGAGCAGGGTTTGGCTATGTGGAAAGTGCTGACGTCTCAAGGAACATCGTGAAGGCACTGCTGGGGGGCCAGCAAGGGGACAAATTAAATTGGACAGAGTTTGGTTGGAGTTTCTGTCAGTCTCCTTTGATCAGTTCATACCCTATTCTGCTGAGCAAGGGCGTGGAGCATCCTTTAGTGGGTCTCCAGACACTGCAGTGGCTGCCCAGTGGTAAACACTTCAATGTGTGTTCGAAGCCAAGCGAGCTGCTTTCTTGTGTTTCATGTTACATACAGTATGTCCACATGTCTATCTGTAACCCGTGCTGGCACAGGGGAGAATTGAAACAAGAATGAGGGCAGCTCGTGGGGAAGCCTGCACAAGAACACACATCCTTGACTCCCGGGCCCTTCTGGGTCCTCTGGGTCTTCACCTGCCACCTCCCCCACCCCCCCACATTCTCCAACCGCAAGGGAAACCAGCCCCAGACTGGAACCCGCCTGCCTCCAGTACTTGAAGTTACCCGACAGTCTCTGCACAGTGAAGGCCAGAATGGGGGAGGCGAGGCTGGGTTTTGCTCTTCCCACCACTTCACTGTGGAAAGGATTAAAGGTCCAAGGAGGATGGTCCGGGAAGGAGGGAGCAAAATGGGCCGGCAGGGGAAAGACATGGAGGAACCTAGAAGACACGTGTAGACTTCTATCCACGGGCATGCTACGGACGTGACTGCAAGTCCCCCAGTGTTGTTTGTCTCCTGCCTTCACCTCTCTGTCTCTTTCCTCCTAGATAGGTCTTGAATTTCCACTGCAGATATTTCCATGGAATGGTAGCATGGGAGTGATGGTTCTTAACTTTGGCTAGGGTGACAAAGGCATCTGTGGTGCCATTTTGAAATCCAGATTCTGGGGCCACGCTTCAGACCTGGGGGAGCCAGGCATGGGAACTTGGAAACTGGAGTGGTCATAAGCTCCCCAGGTACCTCTGATGCACGCCGAACTGAGGCCCCCTGCCCTTGTATGTTGGGGTCTCTGGTTCCAGGCTGCTTCCCTGGAGTTTCACCCCACGAACTGTGTCCCCTGCCCCTTCCTCCCCCTCCCCCCCCCACCACCCAAGCACCTGTAGAAACTTAAGCAGTGAAGTCTTCTGTTTTATGTCACAGCTTCTCCTTAGTTTCTTTTCACCATCAGTCCCGGGGGACTCTCAGGAACATTTTCCCGATATCCTGAAGTTGTTGGCACCTCACCCTAGATTAAAGGAACACGTAGAATCAATGGCTACTGAAGGCACCAGTCATAATCTACCAAAGTTGTCACAGGTAAAACTCAACTCGCCCAGCTCGCTCGCGATGCTTCGTTTGGCTGTTGTGTGGGCAAACGTGGGAGTGAGCCCTACCTCTCCTTCGGTTCCTGAAAAGGAAGAAATGGAATCGCTAGTGGTTGTGTTCTTTGCTAGAAGGTTATTTCTTACAGATAAAACTGGATTTCAGGCACGGTCCCGGGGGGGTTTGGTTTTATTACCTTCATTTTTTTCAGTTCTTGGTCAGATCCAGCTGAGAGAGAGATTTAATAGAAGTAAAAAGGAGTTGGCCCGCTTCCCCTGGAACCATTCAGTCCTGGCGGCTTTATCAGTTTAGGGGCGGAGCCTGGGAAGAGGCCTAACAACCCCTCCTTTCCTGCTTTTTTTGTTTGTTCAAGCAGCTGGTCTTTGAGCACCAGCTGAGTTCCTTGTGCAAAGACAGCTCCATTTGATCCCCAAGTGGAGGTAATTTTATATTCCCGCATGGTGTCTTACACATCAGTAGACTTCCAGGACGTAGCTGTAGCGAGGAAGAGGGAAGCAATTTGGGAAGCATTAAGTCCCTGGGAGGAAGACGGGTGTTTGGGCCCATCTTTGAGAACAAGGGAAGAGAACCACGGAGAGCTGGGCTCCAGGCCCTGGCTTTCCCAGCAGAGGGCAAGTGGCCAGAAGCTGGGGCTCAGAAGTCCAGACTTGAAGGCAGAACTTAGCCCTGAAAACCTAGGCTCCTTGAGGCAACAGTCTCCCCTCCATCCGTGCCGTGTGTCCTTCCCCTGTATGGAAGCCCTGTGAGCTCCACGGTTTCTTGGGTTCTCTGACAGGCAGGAAACTTAACATTTTCCCTGCTTCTCTCCCCGCTCTTGAGGAGGAATAAAAAGTAGGTGTGCCTGACTTAAAAAAACAAAACAGAACAAAAAACGGGGCAGAACCAAGTATCTTCTGAGGTCAGAGAACCCCTAGTGCATTTCAGTAATGTTTGAGATCATGTTTGAGTACATGACTGAGAACACTAATAGTGAACTGAAGAAGTGCCTGGAGTGACTCCTCATTGCAGCTCAATCAGAAATGAAGGAAAATAGCACCCCTGGCTTTCAGGGGTGAGCCAGCTGTGGGGAATGGGGGATTGGGCTTCCACATAAACTTTGCAAAGCAGTGTACTCCCGTATGGACAATGCCTGGGGCTCAGGGAAAGTTGAGGGTGCAGCACTGCTCGGGTGCTGCAGATCCCCTGAACTCCCCAGGTTAGAGACTGAGAAAACTCACATCCTTTCTCTCCTTACCTCACTGTTCTCTCCCGACTATACACTCCCCATTTTCCATCTCTCTACTATTTTGAGGGGCTAGGGGCTGGAAGGAAAGAAAACAACATGAGCATTTGGACCTGTGGACTATGGATTTAGAGTAGAGTTCAGGGTTCTCCAGATAAATCTGCACAAACACCTTGTCATTGGATTTATTTCTAGATTCATTTTCAAATGCTCTCTCCTGGACAAAAATTCTTGAAAAGGCTAGAGACATTATTGGTTATTTTACCAAATGACTTGTCTCTTTTTCAGACTTCTAACTCAAAATCTAGTCGAAAGAGTAGTTTGTCTTTTGACTGGTATAACACAGAGTTCTTTTGACTAGTGTAACAAAGAGCTCTGGAACCTGACGTGACTCCGCAGGCCTGTGAACACACCTGTGCCAAAGCCTTAGCCAAAGTCCTTTTGGAGCTGGTGTGGGGCTTGCAGATGGCCTGGAGTGGCCGTGAGAGCGGCCGGAGATTGAGTGATAGGATCTACCCCCACTGTGTGCCTTGGTTTCCCTCAGGTAGTAACTGGGGAAAGTTTTGGCCAGGAGAGGGGTGGGTGCCCCATTCTCTATCTGTCCCCTTCACCATGGCCCAAGGTGTCTGTCCTCTATACACCTTTCCATCCTTGCCTAGGGAAGTTCTTCCGTTTCACCCAGGCCTGGCATGCCTTCGTTGGTGATGCTGTGTGGCCAGAAGGAGGAAATATGCCTTCTGACTGCCCCCCAGTTAAGCTGTATGTCCACTCAGCGATCAGGGCTACATAGTTTTCTCTCTGTCCCCGGTGGGTAGCAATGTCAGAGGACGGACGATGCTGGTCTTAAGGGGATACTGACATTTGGCTCTTTCTTCGTCCAGGAAAAGCCGGAGCTCCCACACTGTTCTAGTCAGGAGGAAGCGGCGGCAGGGGGAGACCGCAGCAGCCTGGCAAACCCAGTTAAAGTAGAGGGGGAGGGGCAGCGAGGCGACCAGAAAGGCCAGGCAAGAGACAAGGAGAAGGGGGACGCTGCCTCCGCCAAGGCTGGCAAATGCCAAGAAAAGAAAAGGAAGCATTGTCAAATTGGAACCCAAGACCCAGAGGTGCCTACTAAAGCCTTGAAGCCAGGTACTGACTCTACCCAGGGAGGAGGGGGCCTGAAGGAGGTGCCGGGGCTCACCAGCGTCTGCGGGTTACTTGGCCTCTGTCGGAGGGCTCTGTGGGCTCCACGGGCTCTGGATGCGCAGCCCAGCTCTGGCACTGAGCTCTGCCACCTCGGGGCGCCATGAGGCCTCTGGGAGAGCCCACACGGTACCTAGCGTACTGCTGGGGTCCACTAATAATAAGGAAAAGCCAAGGCATAAGGTCAGGCCCCGTTTCGAGTAATGACACCTCACGCCCTTGATGGTGTCCCCTCTTTCCAGGCCCACCTGCCCCCACCCTCGTCTCCACTCCAGGACCGGAGGAGCAAGGAGGTGTGGTCAGGCCTTGCCCTCCTCCTTCGAAGCCGCCTCCCGTCTTCCCAGGGCAGGCTGGCAGTGGCGGGATTCAGTACCAGCCTTGAAGGCCTGACTCAGGCCGTGGAATTGCTGCTACTTCTGTCCAGTGAGGTGCCCGTTGCACCGGAGTCCAGTCTGCAGGGCTCTTGGACATTCCCAGCCTCACATTTTTCTTCCTGTGGGGCTGCCGGCAGCCTCCCGAGCGTCCTTCGGGGTACCCCATTCGCGGTGGCTCAGGTGGCCCCTGAATCTACCCTCTCGGAGGCAGGCTGAGAATGGCAAACTAAAAAACTGAAGGGGTTCTTCTGCCTCGGGAGTGCTGTCTGTGAAAGCACAGTTGGTCCATCTCTGACTTACTGCTTTCTAAATCGCAGATCCTCAGGCTGAGCAGCGGGCGGAGGCTGCTGTCAGTGTTCCACTGCCATCCTCTGTGGATGCGTCTGACCTTGAATGTGCCCTATGTATGAGGTACGTGATGGGGACTATCACCTATTGCCGGGACCTTCTTCTCTGGGGAGTCTGGACCTTTCGGCTAGTGACTTAATTGTTTGGTTGGTTAGCACGGAAAAGCATGGTTCTAACAGAATGCAAAGCACGCTGTTGTTTGTCACACGGGCTAGCTTGTGTCCCTTGCTTACAGATTATATTCCCTGCACTCCTGACTTGGAAATACCTAAAGAGTGGGAAGGAGATGGTCTACCCAGAGGTCACAGACTGATGGCCACACTCTGAATGTCTTTAGTTTGGCCTTCATGGGACTTTTTTTTTTGGTTGTCGTTAAATGTGAATGCTTGACAATAGGACATACACTCTCCAGTTAGCCATGGTTCCCCTCTCTCCCAACTGCCTGTGTCTCATGTTTGCATTACTTTCCTGGTACCTTGTAGGTATTTTGAGTTCATGACCCTGGAACTAATCTCAACTACTGGGTCGAGATCTCAAAGCTCAAGGGCTAATGTCAATGCCATAGGCCTATTCTTTGGAAGCCAAGTAGAGGACCTGACTGGTTTTCGTTTGAACAATATTAGTAGTAGGCATGTACTACTTGGCCAGGCATCCCTTCTGTACCCAGTGGGGAAGCAAATTATCCTCACACCTGCCCACCCCCCTCAGAAAAAAAGGAAGCTGGTACAAGCTTGGGCTTTGTGAAAAAAAGTACTTTCATTTGTTTACTTTCACAGCTGTGACTTGGTGGCTATGAGGAGGAGCTCCAAAGCCAGATGGCCTGGGCTTGAACCCTGGCTCTGCCACTTACTGGCTGTTTGACATAGAGCAAGTGATTTTCTCTGCCACTGTTTTCTTGTCAGTAAAATAGAGAAGAGTAGTACCTACCCTATGAGGTTGTTATGATTAATTGAGAGAATCTATTTAAAACACTTAGAATGGTGCCTGACATAGTAAATACTCCATAAATGTCAACTCTTTTTCTAGACCAGAGATTCTTTAACTGTAGGCCCACGGACCCCTGAGGAATTCTATGTATGGATTCTAAAAGATCTGTGAATTCCCTGAAGTTGTATGTAAAAATGTGTGTGTGTGTTTTCAAACAAAGGTCCACAGATTTCAGTAGAATCTCAAAAGTGTCTTTTCTCCCCCCAAAATAGCATTAAAAGAAGGCTGAGACATTTGCATAAAAGTCGTTAAGATGATTGACCCAAGAGATGTCAAGAAAAATCCTGTGGTCTACCACACAGTGGGATCCAGCCACCCAAGGATCCTGAGATGTTTGTTTTATTGCCCTCTGCAAGCACGTATGCCTTCCATATCAATCACATGCATTTGTATTCGGAAGGACTTTTCTTATCCACATAAAAATGAGTACGGAGACCATTACCTGGACACGTACTTTTACTTTCTCTTAAAAATAACTGAGTTGTCAGATTTGCTCCTGAGCTCGGGCAGACTGAAAACGAACAGTTCAGCAGATGAATGCAGCAGCACCGAAAGAAAGCCTTCCAGATACAATCGGGGAGTTTTAGGGGGTGTGGGTGAGAGTGGGGTGGGCTTTGTAACCAGTTCCCTTTGACCATCTCCCTGTGTCCCCCTCACAACAAAGTGTCAGGTTGGTCATGGTGGAGCCAAGGCATGAGGCAGAAACTCTGCTTCCAAGCAGAGAAATGGGCCTCCACCATTGGGCCTCTAAGCCACGGTCTTTCAGGTGTTAGACTTTGCCAGACTTGGTTTAGCTTGTTCAGAAAGCCCAGGTCTTTGCTGGACGTATCCTCCTTAATACTCCTCCCAACATCCAGCCAACAAAAAATCAAACACACAGACTCATCCTGTTTGTGTTTTTGCTGAGGGCTCAGAATCCTGAGGTTGGAGTTCTTTTGTTCTGTTTCCTCTGCTTTCTCCCTTTCATCTTGTTTGTCCCTGATCTCAACAGGGGGCTTCAGAGAAGAGTTAGAAATTTGCTCCAAGAAATAAACACCAAGAGGATAAGACCCCCTTCTGGTTTGCTCACCCTGAGTTTAAAAGCCATTATTTCCCTTATCCTGCCCCTCTGTTCTCAATGAGACTTCAAAACAAAAGCCCAGCTTTGTCTGGGGTAGCTGTCGTATAGGCTGGTAAGTTTTAAGGGGACTCCAGATGCCTCAGGGTGCAAAGGAACCTGCCAAGTCCAGAGGGCATTTCTGACCCCAAGGCTCTTAACTGTAGCCCTTGGGGCACCTGGGTGGCTCAGTTGGTGAAGCATCTGCCTTCGGCTCAGGTCATAATCTCGGGGTCCTTGGATAGAGCCCTGTGTTGGGGGGGTCCCCACTCAGCAGGGAGTCTGCTTCTCTCCCTCTCTCTCTCTCCCTCGGCCCCTCCCCCCACTTGTACTCTCTCCCTCTCTCAAATAAGTAAATAAAATCTTTAAAAAAAAACTGTAGCCCTTGGTCAGAAGCATGTAGCTCCCCTTCCAACAGGGTTTGTAAGGCAGAAATCAGATGTTGACAGAGGCGGTTTCATATACATGCTTTAGTTTGAATACAGTCTTGACAAAGTTCCTGTTTCCACCTCTCTAGGGCTTTTTTTTCCCTTTTTATTGTCATTAGGATTATTGTCAGCTTCTATTATGACCCTCATGTGTCTTTGAAGGAGAGGGTGTCTAAGGGTTGAGATATTTCCAAACCATCTGCTGGGTCATGAAACTAGGCATTTGTATCTCCCCTACAAGTTTCTAGAATGAAATCCAGTCCCGTGGCACTGCATTAGTAGAAGGCAAGTTGGAGTGCGAAGTTCATCTGACTCTAGAGGGAAACTCGGGAGCCACTTGTATGTCTTGCTGGGAAAAGGGTGGAAAAAGTGAATGGGACAAGAATTGGAGTGTGCATTAATGAGACACTTTCCAATCTCCCAAGTCCCCCTGGCTGGATTGGGAGAACTCTGTTGAGGGAAGTTGTTTCCTAATTCCAGCCCCTCAGAACTCTGCCCCTCAGTCTTTCGTGACTGGAAACCTTCCCTTAAGATTTAGCCAGCTGGATACTCTCGCCACTGTGGGCCACCGCTGGGGCTATTGTGGAACAGCGCCTTTGGGGCGACAAAAAGATATTTTGAGATGTGGAACAAGAATGTTTGATATTTGAACCAGTTACCTGATGGCCCAGTGACCTCTTTGTCAATTGAAATGAAAACTTTGTATTTAACCTAGTTTTAGCTACTCAAATAGCTGGGTGTTAAGGAGTCTGTTCCCCCCTCCCCCATCTCTCTCCTTCCTTCCCTCTCTCTTTTTCTTTCTCTCTCTCCACCCCCCTCCTTCTCAGTCCCTCCTCGCACTCATTTGATAGCAGCAGAAGAACACAATACAAGGATGTAACTGGTGGGAAAAGATAGCTATTTCCAGACAAGCCAAGCATTTTATCCGGGCTGACATCTAACTGAAAACATTTATTATTACTATTGTTTACTCCACCACTGTGACAATGTAAAATGCTTTCTTGTGAGAAAATCTGGCTATACTCTGATTTATAAATGCCTCCCTGAAGTATTTCCTGCAATCATTACCTAAAGTGGTAAATAAAAGGTAGAGGACTTTAAGTATATACCTATTTCTAGCTCTATCTATATATACAGAGTTCTCTCTCTCTCTCTCTCTCTCTCTCTCTCTTTCTGGGGTAGGGAGAGAGAGAGGGAGAAAGAAAACTGTGTTGTCAGTACGTGCATCTACACATGGATGGATGATGTCTGTTCTAGATAGAGATGTGCACACTGTCGCAGCTGTGTCATATAGTGGAGCAGGAAGATGAGCTTGGAAATAAGGTGTGACTTCACACCCCAAGCCCTGCTCCTTCCTAGCTAGCTGTGTGACCTTGGGCAAGTCATTTAACCTGTCTGAGTTTTAATTTCCTCAGTAGTAATATATGAAGTTAATTTATATGAAAAACAGTATTACACACAAGAATAGCAAGAGAAATATACTCCATCTGTTTCTTGTCACCTTACTCCGTCAGCCTTTGTAGAGGAGCAGAGTATCCCTGAACGTAGAAGTGACTTGAGTTCTGAAAGATGATAGATTCTGAGCATCTGAACTTTGAATTATTTCAAAGCAGTCATTATGCAGCATCTGTAGCAGCCTTCTTGTCTGCGACCACTCAGATCGGGGCATTTTAATCACAGTTCTTGCTAAGAGTTGCTGTTTGCTTTTGTGTCTGTTTCGTTCATCTGCTTATTAAATGTCAGTATTTATTGCAGTTAATTAGCCAGCCATATCACTGCTGTTTTACAAAAGGCCCGATTTTGAAGTTCTCAGGAAAAACAGTTTAGCAGGTACAGACTCCTCAATCATCATCATCATTAGTGTCATTGACTAATGTGTAATGAGTTTTCAGATTCATAGGACTCAAATTACTGAGGAAGTGAGACTTTCTGATTTGGCTGCTCCAGGAGATCACAGCAATGGTTTCCAAATCAGCCTGCAAATCACACTTGTGAGAAACATTCTACATTGTGAAATACACACGGCGGAAAAGTACGTAAAATTAAAATTCTGTTCTCTTAACAAAATTCTGTAGAGAGGATACTCATGCAGCCCTTCTCAGTTCAAGAAATAAAACGTGGCCAGGACCCCAGAAGCCTCCTGTGTGCCACTTCCGAATCACGACTCCTTGCCCCTTGCCCACTGAAACCACTATCTTGACTTTTCTCTCTTCTTAAAAACAGTTTTACCACCCATGCATGCATCTCTAAATGGTGTAATTTAGTTTTATCTATTTCTAAAACACTTTATATAAATTGAACTATCCAGAACATATTTCTTTTTGTTCTGGCTTCCTTTCCACAGAATTAAGGTTTATTCGTGTTGCTGCCTATTGGTAGAGTTTGTTCATTTTCATTCATTTATAGTGGCCCGTTGTAAGAATCTACCACAGTTTCTTTGTCAGTTCTGTTATAGATGGATATTTGGGTTGTTCCTAGTTTGGAGTTATTATGGCCAACAATGCTATGAGCAGTTTTTATGTATGCTGGTGCATATCAATCTTTGCCCATCTTTGACTGGGTTATCTCTCTTTTTCTTACTGACTTATAGGAGCTTTATGTATGTTGTAAACATAAGTCCTCTGTTAGTCAAGTGTGTTGCAAATACCTTCTCCCACTTGTGACTTGCCCTTTTGCTCTCTTAATGGCATCTTTTGATGAACTTACAAGTTCTTCGTTTTAATGCAATGAAAATTATCGATCTTTTCATTTATAGTTAGTGGCGTTTTTTTTCCTTGTGCATGTCTTGCCTAAAAAATCTTTTTTCTTTTACCTTGAGGTCATCAAGACATTCTATTGTGTCTTCTAAAAACTTCACTGTTTCACATTTACCTTTCCAGCACACATGGAAGTGATTTTTGTGTATGGTGTGAGAGATGGCCCAACTTCATTTCCTCATATGGACAGCCAGCTATCCCAAATAGCATTTATTGAGAATGCTATTCATGTACTGAAAATCCCCCCTCTGCTTTGAAGTACCACAGTTGTCGTAAATCAAGAGTCTGGGTCTGGGTCTATTTCTGGGCTTTCTGTTCTATTCACGGATCTATTTGTCCTTGTGCTAGCCCTATACTGTTTTAATCACTACAGCTTTATAATAAAGTCTGACGTCTGGTAGAGCAAGTCCACCCACACTGCTGCTCTTAGAAGTGTCTCCGCTCCTCTTGACCCTTTGCCTTGCCTTATACAGTTTAGAAATCAACTTGGCAAGTTCCATAAAAACAAACATGTGAAATAAGCCATTGGGATTTTTATCGGGATTAATCAGGTCTTCTTTACTTCCTTTCGATGAGGTGTTTACAGTTCTTTCCATCAGAGGTCTCGTACAACTTTTGTTGGATTTATTCCTGGGCACTTGATTTCTAGACGTGATTGTAAATGTTACTTTTTTTTAAAATGTGTTTTCTTATGTTTTTTGCTGGTGTATAGAATACAATCGTGTGTGTGTATTTATCTAACATCCTTGCTAATACTATCAATTCTTATGAATTCTAATAATCATTCTGTAGATTTTTTAATTAAAAAAAATTATGTGTTTTAGAGAAAGGGGGTGAGGGGGAGGGCAGAGGGAGAGGCAGTCTTTAAGCAGACTCCAGGCTGAGTGCAGAGCCTGACGTGAGGCTTGATCTCATGACCCTGAGGTCACTACCTGAGCTGAAACCGAGAGTTGGAGGCTCAACTGACTGAGCCACCCAGTACCCCCTGTAGATTCTTTTAGATTTGACCAGTTCACCATCACATCATGTGTGAATAAGGACAGATTTGGTTTTTTCCATTGTAACCCTCATACTTTTAGTTTTTTCTTCTTGCCTTAGTACACTGGTTAGGACCTCCATCATAGTGTTTTTGAAAATTAATATTACTTTTTGGCCAATTTAGTAACTAAAATTTATTAATTCTGTTAAACAAATGAGCTGCTTTCTAAAACAAGAATATAACATTCAAAAAGTAGAAAAAGTGAATCTATCAAAAGCCTCTTACTCCAGACCTTCATTTGCTTTTTTTTTTTTTAATTTCAACATTTTAACATTTTTTATTTGTACTGGTACGGACTTATTAAATATCACCTTTTCAATGACCGTTCAATGTCTGTCCTCTCATCTCCTAGAAGTCAGATGCCTTCTTGTACTTGTCATATTGCCAGCACCTAGCTCTGTGTCAGCACGCAGAGCATGTTTGCTGAACGAATAAGTGAGAATCTGTTTTGTGGATAGCCTGTTAAATTTAAACTGATTTCTCTTAAGAAACTATTCATTTCTTTCCCACAAGATGGCTTTCCCCTCATATTCCACAAGAATTCTTTTTAATCAAGAAAGAGGGGAATGTGCCAGCAGCTGCTAGACTTTCATTGGCTTGTTAAAAATACCAAATCTCTGTCCCTCTCTTTGACCCGCTAAATCGCAAACTTTATCCAGTGGAGCTTCACCATGTCTGTGTTTTTAAAGCTCTACAGGTAGCTCTGATAATTAGTTTGAGACCAATACAGAAGATTCACCTATGCAGAGATTAGTAGGATTGTATAATACAGTGATTTTCAATCCTGGCTGCACATTAAACCCACCCAGGAGCTTTAAAAAAAAATCCTGGTGCCTGGCCCTTACCCTGGACCAGCTGATCTGAATCTCTGCAGGTGTGGTCCCTGGCATCTGTAATTTTTAAAAGTTCCCCAGGTGATGGTGGGGGTTGGGGGCTGCGGATCAGGAGGTAGGATTTACAAAGGGATATGAGGCAATGTTTGGGGGTGACGGGTATGTTCATGACCTGGATTGTGGAGACTGTTTCATAGATGTGCACATATGTTAAAACTTACCAAATTGTAAACTTTAAGTATGTGCAGTTTATGCATGTCAATTATACATCAATAAAGCTATTTAAAGAAAAAACTCTCCAGGTGATTCTCACACACAGCAGTGGTTGAGAATCATTGTTTTAACAGAAAGAGCACACGACTGGAAGGTGGAAATTGGATAGACTTTCACTGCCAACATGTAAGTGGCTTCCTCCCCTCTGGACCTCAGTTTCATTCTGGTTAGTGGGTTCAATTTTTTCTGGGGAGTACTAATGTCATCTCTGACATTTTGATTCTTCTGCTCAGCCTGTGTGCGCCAGGCTGTCGTTGCACCTCCTGGCCACACGTGGGGGCTGTGCAGCTGGCTGCCTCTTCCTCTCAACTGAACACTCTTGTGAGGTCAAAATAGGCTGGTCAGGCATCTGTCTTTCCCTTCTGTTTGTCCTTTGGTGAGCGGGAGCCCCACTTCTGATCCACCATCTTCAGCTGCCCCCACCCAGTGGTCCTGCTGCAGGTGAGCCTTTCTTTTTAAGCAAAGTAAATCCATGAATCTCTGAATGTACAGAACAGCTTTTAAAAAGATTCCCCAGATTGCTTTGAAAATATCCAGCTCTTACAAAGCAATTAAAGTCGGATCTAATTGAAGTATATGGATGCAGACCTACATATGTGTATATGTGTGTGTGTGTGTGTCTATCAGTAAGCACATTGACAGTATTACTTTACTGCCTCTAAGAAAACGATCCATTCATACAAAGATAGTTATGTATTTGTTACAGGTACAATTTTGAGATTCTTCAGTCAGTAAACATTGCTTAGGTGAAAAATGGAATCAAGGTTAGCAAACAAACCAAGTCTTTTTCCATTGTATATATGATATAAAGTACTTAAATGAGTAAATGTGTGAGACAAGAGTGTATGTGTGTTTATCTGTCTCTGTGTCTCCATATCCTTAGGCGAACAGATTGGCTAAATATTTTAGAACGTAATCTATTCAGACACTCTGGGCATTAATCTCTATTTTTCTGGGACCTGACAGGGAAAAACAATCTGGATGCCAGTCAGAAGAGACTGACTAGAACTGATGTTACAAGATGATCTAGCGATGTCATAAATGTTGATAAATGCATTATTTTAAAAATCCACCTCAGAAATAAAAAAGCAAATGCTTTTCTAAGTGCAACAACAGCAGGGAATTATTTGAAAAAAGGAAAGACCCCTCTCCTTACACAGAATTTTCCTAATAATACTATAAAACCTTAACATTGAGTAGCTCTGTCTTTTATTTTTTTGTCTTATTGCATGTTTCTATTATTTCGATTCCTAAATTTCAGATTATTCTATGAGCCAGTCACCACACCTTGTGGGCATACATTTTGTTTAAAATGCCTTGAAAGATGCCTAGACCACAACGCCAAGTGTCCGTTGTGCAAAGACGGTCTCGCACAGGTAAGACGTTCTTTCTTCCTTGATTAGGTTATAGCTTATCTGGAACTGGAAACTAAAATGCTGCCCTGTTGGACCCCAAGCCAGTGCACTGCGCTTGGGCAAAATACTCCCTCGGGCCATCGGTCTGTTTTTCCTGTCTTAGAGCTCCCCCTCCCCTCTTCACAAAGTCCTTCAGGAAAATGGGGCAACATCTAGGTTTTTATGAACTGTAAATAGTGAAATTAATTTGTGATGGAAACAAAAGTATTAAATTGATGGTAAGCAGGGATCCTGCTAGGTGCTAAGCCTATCATGGCACCCGATTCACCTCAATCTTAGGTGAATCCTCTGTCCTCTCTGGGCTTGGACTAGATGAGCTCTGATGTCTTCTCATCATCAGTGTTTATTCTGTGGTTTGAAGGGATCACTCCCAGGTCCCCAGAAAAACCTCACAGACCTTCAGTGTGGTCCCTGTTCCATGCCCCCCCGCCCCAGGAGCTGCTGTACTTATTAGCAGATACTTGGCTACTTGAAAATCTCTGCAGCTTACAGATCCTCCGAAAGGAACCACACAGGCTGCCACCATTGTTTTTCGGGTGGACCTGATGGAATTTCTTATAGCACAGGAATACCTGGGAGCCCATCTTGTTTTCCCTCCCTTGGGGACTTGTGCAGGACACGTTACAGTCAATCTTAATGTTCCTTGACCCCTGTCGTCCCCGAGGAGAGGTCAGAGATGCAAGACTATCTCTAGGTGAATGTAGGTCCAAAGAAATCACTTGTTGAGCTTTCTCAACACCCAAACATTTGAACTAAGGGAATGGAGTGAAATAATCATCCAGGATAACCCTGGGGGTGTGTGTGGGGTTGGAGGGGAGGTTCACTTGTCACACTGTGCCTAGATCAGGGGGTGGGGTCTGCTGGCCTGATTGTGGGTGAGGAGCCCATGGTCCTTATACTTAAACAATACATTTGTGTTGTGGTAACACTACAATATTCAAATAAGCAGAAAGAAGAAAAATCTACTCATGCTCAGCACCTGGAGAAAAACCACTGTTAACATTTTAGTATGTGCCTTTCCTGGGTTTTTGTTTTAGCATCAGCGGAGGAATCTGGATTAGCAACCTCCTGAGTCATTGCTTTTCCCCAAAGACTGGGACTGGGCAAAGCAGTTGATCTTCTGCTGTCAGGCAATGGCAGTGGCTGAAAAGGCATCCTAAGAGCAGATGCTGTAGGGTCCCAGACTCAGGGGCTAGAAAATATTCTCATCTGTCTCTGCGTATTGACACAGGGGAGCACTTACACCATTTCCAAGAGAGAAAAATATTTTATGCCAATCATGGTCACTGCAGAATAGACACAGATAGCTCATACTTGGAAAGGAAAAATGGTCTCAAACCGGCAATTTTATACTCAGGAGCTCCCCCTGCTGGGTCTCCGTGGGTAGTGTCCATAGCAAGCAATTTGCAGATGTTTTAACTCTCATTGTCTGGTTCACACAGTTGAATTCCCACTGCTTACGGATCCCTGGATATGCATGGAGTAGGGGTGTTTGGGAGGATAGTAATAGTGACAAATGGACCTGAGTTTGGCTCTGAAATCATGGTTTATAACATAATTTCAGTGATAACCTAGATGATATATCTAAAAAACAAATAGACAAAATCACCAGTATTATAGCTGTTTTGTTTTGTTTTTAGCTAAAGTGCGGAGGGGCGTGAATATTTAGACTGGCAATATCCAGAAGCCAAGCATTGGGGTGGGGTGCGGTAGGGGTGGGACAGGTCAGGAAAAGATCAATGTTTGAAAGTGGCTTTTTCATTCCCCAAACATTTTGACCAGACTTTCAGTATATCCCAGATGGAGACCATTTTTGCGAGCTTGTAAATGTAGTAACCAGAAAAAGGAAAGGGAAGGATCCGCCCCCCCCCTTTTTTTGACAAGAACGTAATCTCAATTTGAGTGTTTTAGGGAAGCTCTGAGATTTTTAGAACTTCAATGCAGGTCTTTTTCCCTTGTTAAAATATTTTGCCTAATTATAAAAGTAATTAGTCACATGTAACATCCAGAGAATATATGCATTATGATGTTATCAGCTGCTAATGTGTGGGTCCAAATTACTCCAATATGTGGGTCATTCAACTATTCTACTGATTACATCAGATGTGCTTTGTGTTTTTCTGAGGACTGCATAATATCTCATTGCCCTGTTCCCCCATAGTGCTTGGCATCCAGAAAATATAGCAAAAATGTCATAATGGAAGAGCTAATAGCTAAATTCCTTCCAGAAGAACTCAAGGAACGAAGGCGGCTTTATGAAGAAGAAATGGAAGAACTTTCTAAGTATGTATATGCACGTTTCTCTTTTTTCTCTTTTCAGTTTCACTCATAGCAGCTCATAGAACTGAATATGCACATTACTTCCTAACTTCTCACTTGGTGATATCATGTTGGTAGCTTGGCATTGGCCTTGGTGAGAGTATCTATGCTATAGAAATTGGCAAATGCTATAAGCCAGAGCTTCCCCCAACCAAAAGCCAGTTTGTTCAGCATTTACCAACACACCACTGAAGAAGCGGAAGTCAAACCATCGGCCAGGTCACATCTTGGCACTTGTAACTGGGTGTTGCTGGTAGGAGTAAATAGGAGTAGCTAAATCAGGGGAACTTACAGCGTGTACAGAAGACTGCAAATACTTAAGAAGGTGCTGTGAGGTTAAGAATTTTGGTGCCAGCCAGACCTGGGCTTGTGACCCAGTTCTGCCACAAAGCAAGTATACTTCAGGGCCTTGGGCAAGTGACTTGACCTCTCTGGACCTCAGGTTCCTCATCTGTAGCTTGGGAATGATCAGTTCTTACCTCACGGACTAGTTATGAAGATCAAATGCGTTTAAGTACTTAATAAATGGTAATAGTGAGACTGCTGCTTGTTCTGTGCTTCCTTTGCCAGGGACGTGGGAGATGCAGGGTAAGGATGGGGATGGAAGTAGGCCTCTTCCGCCCAGCTGGAAGAGCAGCTCACTTAGAAAAAGCAGGAGGCAGTCTCTCACTTCCACCTCTCCTACTGCTGCCCTCCCACCTCCCGATCCCCAGTGGAATCCTCACAGCATTCTGGGGGCGAGGTGCCTGATGACAAAAGCTGCTCTGGTTTTCTGCCCACCCTGTGGGGAAACATTTCTAAACTGCCACCGGTTTGTTTGAGTGAGCCTCTCACTTTGAATGATATGTTTTCCTGAGAAGCTAGAAATGAAATCCTTTTTTTTTTCTCATTGACTTATAGTAGATCTACTCAGAACATCTTTATTTCTGATTCTTAAATTCACCTTGAGTTTCTCCAAGCCCTTCTCTCCAATGTCATTTAATGTCTTATTAATAAACACTGGAATATACTAGAGGGATACCTATTTAAAGAAATCGTAAACTGAAGACTTCGGGGATTTGGGCAGATGGTCTTGTATCTATTGATAGGTTCCAGTATTGGATTTACCAGACAAAGACGAGAACAGTGATCCACGAGGAGCTGGCCCGGTTGGTGGTTTCCCGTTAGGCTGTGTGTCTGCTTCTTCATGGGCACTTGTTGAAGGGCAAACTCCTGGGTCCTAACTCCAGAGCTAATGTACCAGTATCTCGGGGGGGTCCTGCAGCCCGTTGTCTGGATTTAAGGGCCCCTGGTGCCTGATGCACAGGAGCGTTTGAGCATCCACTGGGCTAGATTACACTTGCCTCTCTGTTGCTCCCTCCTCCTTCTAGCTGGGCTTGCCAAGCAGATCTCCTGGGGGCTTTGCAGATTTGAGATGCTGATGGAGACCTTGCACAGATTTTTCCACCATCCCCCTGGAGGGCTGGGTCCACCTTTACCACCAGCCCAACACCTGAAGAGATTGTTCTGAGTAGAGAGAATGAAAAAAAAATTTTGAGGTATAGCTATCGCCCACAATGTGAAGGTACTAGAGGACGTCTTTAGCCAAATTAGAATGTATAGAATATCAGTTTCAATCTCTCAGCGCTTAGGCTAACCTCTGCACCAGGTAATGGGACTCAGCCCATAGTGTGGGTTGCATCTCAGAATTTTTTTTATCAGCCGTCAAAACTTGAGGTCTCCTTGCCTTCCTGTGGGGGAACCACAAGGTGACGTTTGACCAACCTTTCTGTGTTCTCCATTGCTTTGAGAAATCCATGTCATTTGCTCTTCCTGACAGCTTAAATAAGAACGTGCCTATTTTCGTGTGTACTATGGCCTATCCCACCGTTCCTTGTCCTCTGCACATCTTTGAGCCTTGTTACCGTCTGATGATTCGTAGATGCATTGAGACAGGCACAAGGCAGTTTGGCATGTGCCTTGGAGATACTGTCAAAGGGTAAGTGGAGACCTATTGTAGAGTGAAGGGAGGTTTGGGTGGAGAGGGATTTGGGTTTACTTTGGAGTGCTCCCCGGAGATGGGGAGGCACAGCTCCTGAGATTTGGTCAGTTCATGACCATGAGTATTTGTAGAGATCAGGGTCTCCTTGGCCCCTAGTATACCATGTAATAGGCTGCCTATATAAAGGAACCCCAGGATTAATCTTTTGTTATACGAGTGGTATATACTATAAAATTTGTTTTACTATAAGACTGTGGGCCCTGGAGTCACACTGCCTGGGTTTATATTTTGGCTCCAGCCTTAGAGCACGTTTGACTTTGGGCAAGTTACTTCTGTGACTCAATTTCCTTACCTTGAAGTGGGTACAATAATAGTGCCTACCTCACTGGGTTTGTTGGGAGGATTGGTGAGTTAGTGCACATAAAGCACTGAGCACAGTACCTAATACATAGCATCTGCTCAATACATGGGAGCACTTACATTATTGCATAAAGATTTTTCTTTGCACGGGCACTGCCTGTTGTGTCGTTGCCGCTGTGGACCCCAGGACAGGCAAATAGGCAGAAGTCCCTTGAGGCACAGCCTGGGATTACAGAAATGGCTCAGGGCCAGGCCACAGAAATGACTCAAGAATTTACGTCTTTACGCATACCCTATACAGCAGGTTCGCGGAATACGGCTGCATCCTGGAGATCAGAAATGTTCAGTTCTTTGCTGATGGCCGCTCAGTGGTGGACAGCATAGGCAAGAGGCGCTTTAAGGTCCTCCATCAGGGCCATCGAGATGGTTACAATACAGCCGATATTGAATACATTGAAGACCAAAAGGTGAGGGCGGCCAGTGCCAAGAATCCCAAAGCCAGGTTATCCCTGTAGCTTGGCACACAGAGATGTTTGCAAAAGAATTTCTCAGCACTGTTGGGGGCCTTGGGATTTCTCACCAAACTGTGCCAGCAACATTCAATGTTGCTGGATTGCTGTTCGATTGTAGAATGGCACCAGGAGCACCCCGTGTCCTGGCTTTCCCTGCTTAGTTGCTGAGTTGTATTCATGCATGAGAAATACCAAGCCAGACCAACAAACCTGGGGCCCATTCAGCCTAGGAGTTAGATCTCTGCCAGAGATACCAAAGGATAGATCTAGAGCTATGATATCTACACATGTGCATTTTATGTATCAATTTATTCATATTTTCCAACTTTTTCTTTTGAGATAATTGTAGATTCTCATGTACATTTGTATTTTTTTTAAAGATTTTATTTATTTATTTGGCAGAGAGCACAAGCAGGGGGAATGGCAGGCAGGGGGAGAGGGAGAAGCAGGCTCAGGGAGCCTGATGTGGCACTCGATCCCAGGACCCTGGGATCATGACCTGAGCCAAAGACAGACGCTTAACTGACTGAGCTACTCAGGGGCCCCCGTACATTTGTATTTTTAAATGTGCAGCCTGGTTAAGAGTTCTTCCCTATAGCCCATCATACCAAAAAGCAGAAAGATAACATGTCCAGTTAATCCTTGGTGTTCTGGACTAATGGGTAGAAGAGGAGGTAAATAATCCCATGTTCATTTATATTTACATTCACTACATAGTACAAGATTAGTAAATGTTTGATCAGTGAATGAATGTATTTGACTTGTAAAATAGAGTTACACAGTGAGACACAGACACACTCATGTCTCTTCTCCCAGTGGGCAATGGGAAGCCAGATATAAGACGTGAAAAGGAGAGAGGCATAAAGCAGCATAAGCTAGTTTGACAGCATGCCTCCACTCAAGCCAGTTGGCACCTCTGGTTTTCTGTCTGTCTTGCTGTTTCAGCTAATTGACCCAGAGAAAACTTTATCCTTCCTCCACCCTTAGCAGTATTTACACACAGCCCACCCTCTGGCTGAGGAGCCTTTCACATGCCACACAGGAGAAGGTCGGGTGGGTGAGCCTTCCTAGGGAGGCAGGCTGGATGCCCAAAGGGAGTCAGTGTCAGCAGCAGCTTCAGCGGTGGTGGAGAAGATACAAAGTGCTTCATTTCCACTTTGGTACTTTCAGGTTCAAGGAGACGATTATGCTGAGCTCATGGGATTACATAATTGTGTCTATGAGCAAGCGTCATCATGGTTTCATTCGCTCAAATCATCTCTGAAGAATCGGATACTCAGTCACTTTGGTCCAATGCCAGAGAAAGATGCTGATCCCCAGGTATATAAAAATGTCTCTTTGTAATGGACTGCCGCCACCAGATGAGAGATCCTAGGATTTGGGATTAGATGGGTGCAGAGCTGCCATTTGGCAGATCAAGAGCAGAGAGGAAGATGGATCCAATTTGGTATTGTTTGGCTGGGCAGTGGGCATCATGGGTAAGACCCAAAGGATCCTGAGTCAGAATTGGAGTAATAAAGTAAAGCAGTAGGAACTTGGATCCAAGAAAGGTTTTGAGAGGTATGTCAGGTGAGAGATTGGGAACACAGATGCCATCAACAGAAGAACCTTCAGTGGGAGTCCAGTTTCACACCACGGTAATGTGTGGGAGTGACATGATTCACATAAAGGCCAAGCTTAAGAGAAGGGTATCCTGGGAGCTGAGACCAAAGCTTTCCATTTCTGGGGAACTTCATAACCCTCTCCCCCATTGCTGCAGGAGCTAGGAGATGGGACCCAGCTACCTTACAGGATTCCAACTGCAAGACCCCAGAATCTTGTCACACCTGGGTCCCTCCCTGCTTAGCCTTGTAGGTCTAGACCCTTGTCATTGTTCTCATCAGGGGTGAGCAGTTCCTGAGCAAATAGACCGAATCTTTAAATTTACCCTTGGCTGAATTATACTAGAAAGCAGTTCATTAGGTTCTACTGGATCAGTCTGTTTCCTGGGGGGACAGGTCCCCTTGAGAGATCAAGCTGCAGATCAGAAGCTCTTCAGGAAAGTGGAGATAAGTTTCACCAAGCTTTGCCTGCCTGGTATAAACCAGACAATACTCTCTCTCTAGGACAAGGCTGGAGACAACCTAGTCAAATACTTGCCCCCGATCACCTCTCCTCCATTCTGAGCTGGCTCCCCTACCTCATCACCTCCCTGACTTCTTTGATTCTTTACTTTCACTCATTCCTGACTCTGTCACAATAGTAAAACAGAATATGCATGTTCTGATTTCCCTGCCAGGAGACTGGTCCTTACCACTCCAGCTGTGTGACCTTGGGTAAATCACTTCTCCTTTCTCAACCTTTCTCCCAGCTCTGCAATGAGGGAGGTGGATAAGGAGGTCTCCAAAGTCCCTGCTTCTTCTTGCATCTGGGGTTGTAAAACACCAGTCTGTTCCCTAATGGGCTGAAATGTGTCACTTTCTCCAGACCACAAAGGTGGCTCTTTCCCTCCATGCAAAGGCATCGTGAATGTTGAAGGGAGAATGGCCAGTCAGTGCTTCCCAGTGACCCAGCTCCTGGCTCTGGGCCACTGTGACTCAGGACTACATCAGAGCTCTGAGCAAGCTCATGATCAAGTGTAATGTTCCCCTTCACCTTCTGGAAAGCATTCTCCCTCAGTCAGGCAGAAGGTAGCAATCAGCAATGATACAGCATCTTCCACAAGAGAAAACACAGATGCCACAGAATGATTCATAAGGGCTCGATGACACAGAAAGCTGAAATCTTGGGTTCATTTCCTTTCTTATTAGAACTGTTATCATGTTGCTTTGGCGGCAGCAGCAGCAACAACAACAACAACAACAAAAAAAAAATCATCCAGTTTGATCCAGTCAGGGCTGCAGCCCCAGTGGTCCCATTAATAAGAATGTTCTAAGCCTCGGGAGGAGATTTCTCAGAAACAGCCGCAAGTATTAACATCAGCTTAAATATCTTTGTTAATGGCCCTGGGAAAGAAAGTTTAGAATGTGTCAATTTCATATTCAGAACTAAAAATAGGAGGGAGAGCCTGTTACAGCTCACAGTGAGGGACAAAAAAGAATTCAAATGAAGCTATCAGGCACAGAGAAGCCAAGAAGGCAGCAGGGTTTGAGGAGAATCAGGCGAACCAATTTGGAGGCAAATAGTCCCACATGTAGGTGGTCTGACCAGAATGGGGTTCTGTATAGTCCTAAACCAATCTTCTGAAAGTTGTGAGCCGAGAGCTCATTTCAGGCTTTGTAGGAAATAAGTCGCCAGTGTCTAAAACGTGTGCCTGAGAAGCTGCTCACAAACAGAATTTCGGTGAAGGAGTCATGTGGGACGGGAAAGGTCTTTATTAAAAAGGAAACCTGGGGACCAAATACATTTCTAATGTGAATGTGTTCTCTAATTGGAATTTTTGCCAAGTGGGATTGCTGTGCTTTGGGGCTGTGGATCATAGGCTTCGGTTTCCGAGGAGAAGCTCGCTGTGGCCATATGTACCTGGCATATGTGGACTATATTGCCTTCAACCAGAAGCAGAGAAATAAAGGGAGTTAAGAGACATGCCGAGCCCAAGGGATCATGGGAATTGAATGCCCACATGTGGTATGTGTCAGTCCAAAGAACCTAAACAGAATCTTCGAAATGGAACAGACTGAGTAGCGGATATTCTAGCTCACAGAATCACACTGGCTAGCAGGTATAGGGTATCTGTTAGGATATTGATTGGTTTGCTTTGACAACTGCTAAAAATAACTGTAGCTTGAACCACATTATTAGAGGGCTAAGGCAGCTCTGTTCCATGAGATCATTCAGGGATCCAGTCTCCTTCCTCACAAAGCTCTACCATCCTTAGAATGTTGCCCCGTCTTCCTGATAGAAGAAGGCTGATCATCACCATGTTCACGCTCTAGCTGGGGAGAAGAGAGCAAGAGTAAGGCAGAGGGCACACGCCCTGTTCCTGGCGCATGACCCAGAAGTTACACGTAGAACTTCCCTTTATATCTCCTTAGCCAGAACTCTGTCTTGTGGACTCCCCTTGCTGCAATGCAGCCTGTTTTCTGGGTGGCTACATGCCCGGCTCAGATAAGGGGAAGTAGACCTGGGGGTAATTAGCAGCGTCTGCCGTACACAGAAGCAGCTCCACCTGGGACGTTTACCTTGTGGCTTGGGAAACCTGCAGCCTGATCTCCCTTCTGTGGGAATAGGATGAACCCATTGTGTTTCTCTGTTGTAGGTTAACCCAAATGGTCCAGCCTGGTGCTGGTGGACGTTAGCGGTTCTTCCACTGGAAAGCCGAGCTCAGCTCCCATTCCTTGCAATGAGGTCCTTAAAGGACAGACTGAACGGTATTCGGAGAGTGCTGGCCTTTATATCCCGAAACCAAAACTAGTGAGAGGGGGTTGCCGAAGAGGAGCCGCCACCCTCCCCACCGCCCCTGGGGGAGTCATCTTGTAAATATATCTAATTGCAATAACATCTTAACAGAAGGAAGTATCAAACAGGCCTTTCCCTGCTGTTGATCACAGAGAGAAAATGTGTAGAAAGACCAAAAGCATGGGACCTGTTTGAAACTTTCTGTCTTAAGATGCTTCTTGACATGCTGCACAACTACATGCTCAGCAGAGGTGTTTAAAAGCCCAGAAGAAAAAAATTAATTTGATTTCGACATAAACTTTCCTGAAAGTTTAAAGTGGTTTTGCTTTAATTTTCTTTCTTGCATAGTTAAGTGTGTGGTTGAAATGTGAAGCACAGATGCTAATAATGTTGCTGCGTTATTTCACTGACTTGAGTTCTCATTCCAAATGGTTCAGGTTTTATACAGTATTGTGTAAAATAATGTTCATCCTACATTCTGTTTTAATAATTTATTTTTTTTGCACTACTGTATCCTTTTTTTCTACATGTATGTTTGTAACTATTTAAGTGTATGTTACTGAAATGCCAGTTGCTTTATTTATTAACGTGGTTTACCATGTACCTAGGGGGAAGTAACAGTACTAGAAATGTGCCATTTTTGCTTTAATCACACTTTACTATGTTTCTCGAACCAGCTCTCGAACCATGTTCATATCTACCCCATTGGATGCTTAAAGGAAGTTCAGAGTCACGCTGAGACTGCTGATCTTCACAGGTTCCATTTGGCTTTCAGTCTGAATTCAACAATATAAGATACGCAAGGGATTTGGCATACATTATGGAATAAGCCAGGGTAAGGTAAAATACTCCATTTTCTATGTGTTATACAGAGCAGGGCTGAAGGAATGATTTTCCTTCAATGAAGAAATGAATCAGAGGGGCGTCTTTTGGTACAATCTGTTATAGGCATTTATCTTAACAATCTAATTACAAGTGTATATCGTTTCTCCCCAGTGCAGTTAAGAGTGGGATTTTGAGGCAGGATGATTTTTAACCCTTCAGAGGGAATGGTTTTCAGTTTGACATATCATAGCCTCCATACCCCACCTCTTCTCAGGGTTCTGAAGATCACGACCTGGCTAGCATGTGTGGAAACGTGTCAAGAAGGGCTGTTTGTTATTAAAAGTGCAAAGAAGCCAGTAGAAAAAGTAGAACACTTAAAGAAAAAAAACAGACAAACTGTCTTTTTGGTTTGTAAATCTCTTTAAAGGAAACAATGAATCCATGATTTTATCTAAGCACTGCCTTCCCTCCCAAATGCCATAGGTCAAAGATTTCAATATAGGGGAAGAATAGTGGGTAAGAAGGGAAGAGGGAGCTCCTGTTTAGCCTGCTTAGTACTAAGCTAGTGTGATTATTTTAGTGCCAGGAGGACCTGAAAAATGCTGTGAGGATGGGGTGTCACAATGACGGGGTGAAGAGATTAGGATAGGCAAGAAGTGAGTCCTGCCATTCGCACCGTCGTGCACATCACCCCCCACATGATGCTGGACGGACGCAGTGCGGCCCATCCACCCCGTCCAGGAGAGGTTAGTGCCTCAAGTAACCAACCTGACTTCTCCCATCACCACCTCTGTCCAGAAACAGAGAAGGGGGAATGAGATGGTCCAGGCAACAGAAAAGAGATTCACATAAGCAGAAACCAAATGATCTTTTCTTTTTTTTTTTTTCTTTAAGATTTTATTTATTTATTTGACAGAGAGAGAGACAGCGGGAGCAGGAACACAAGCAGGGGGAGTGGGAGAGGGAGAAGCAGGCTTCCCGCCGAGCAGGGAGCCCGATGCGGGACTCGATCCCAGGACCCTGGGACCATGACCTGAGCTGAAGGCAGACGCTTAACCAACTGAGCCACCCAGGCGCCCCCCGATCTTTTCTGCACTTGGCTAAATGGATGCTATTTTGTCAGAGCATTATGTTACCAGGCTTGATGTTTGCAGCCAGACTAGGCTAGTGAAGAATGGAAGTATAGGCATGGTTATTGCCCAAGCAAATTCTGCAAGGCTCAGGGAGCAGGAAATTAAAGGCTCCCCCTCCCACTTGGTGCCCAACCATGAGGTCGTAGCACAGTCCTAGTAAAATATTTTCCTGTCATCTAGTGTAAGTGCAGCAAAGAAATTGTCATAAGCATCTCCTCTTGGTAGATGTTTTTGTTTTATGATTTAACTCTTTCTGGGCCCCAGGCTCCTCATCTCGCAAATGGTAGTGATCAGTGCCACATATAGGGTTGCTATGAACGTTATATAAGGTAGTATATATGTAAATCACTTAGCAGAGTGCCTAGCACCTAGGAGACGTTCGAAAAATAATAGTTTTGATTAGGTTATTCATAGTTACAGAATATCATCAGGGGCCCACATTTGCATAAAACGCTTTACACACAGTACCCATATCTACCCCTTTAAATGTAGTTGGGGGGATCCACACCACTGATTTTCGGACCATAACTTGACGCTTTACGGTTAATTCCTTTTGGAGCCAAGTCTGTTTGGGAAAATGAAAAGACTAGAAAACAAATGAGGGTCAGAGACAAGGGAGACTTCTGGGCCAGTACATTTTTCCGTATTTCAATAGGACTAAAAAGTAGTGCTCTTTGGAGGTCTGAAATTTCTGATACAATGGAAGCCTTAAGTTCTAGCTCCATTAGAATAACCAGCTCATCTTGTTCTTCAAAAAGTATTAAAAACCTTGGCCATGCCAGAGTGAACAAGTTTTACAATCTGACTTTTGTGCTTATTAGTTCACGGGATTTCTTTTTGCTGCCGCAACAGAAATCTTTTGCGAACCTACTGTGTGCCAGGCACTGAGCCAGGCGATTCCAGGTTCATTCCATGAACATACATGAGTCCGTGGAATCGCTTATTTTCCACATCACACCCTGTGAGATCAGTTACCATCCCCATGTTATAGATGAGAAGGCTGAGGTCCTGCAGTGTTAGACATTTTGCCCAGGCGACACAGCCAGTTAATAGCCAAGCTTGATTTTGAACCCGTTACTTTGCAGATTTTTAACATTTTAAACAGTTTATGTTACACATCATTTTATTAGATAGGCATGGCAACCGAGTCACAAAAATGAGCCCCAGAAGCTCACAATTCAAATGGCAGTGGAGGGTTAAGTAAAATTCAGTTACCTCACACATCTTCACTTAATCTAGGTAGAAAGGGAAGTTTGATTTTTTCAAAGTGAAATTCTACATTACAGAATATTTCATGTTGATAAATGAGTATCTAACTCCAGCAAACATAGATCTTGGCTGGGCAGAATTGCATCGTACTCTCAGTAGCCTAAATACACATTTGGGTTGTTTTCTTTTGTTTCAGCAGTGGTTGGAGGCAAGATGCAAGGCTGATAAAGCCTTGGCTTTCTTTGGGATGTACTTGAATGGGGTAGTCATTTGAACATGACCATTTTCACCACTTATAAATTGATTTTGCTGCCAAGCTTGAGTATGAAGAATGTACAGAGAAAAGACGTAAGGCTAAATCTAGGCCAGAAGTATAAGACTTCCCCCTTGGTAGATTGTGCCATTTATTTGGTTAATTTTCTTATTATAACCTAGATTATACCTAGATTATTTTCTCTGTGTGTGTGTGTATATGTGTGTATATATGTATATATGTGTGCATATATATATATATATATATATATATATTAGGTACCAAGCAGATATTATGCCTTTCTGCTTTGTACTGTACTACTGCTGCTAGCTAATAACCAGCAAAATGTAGAAAATGAGAAATGATAAACTAATTTTCTATAGGCAACTTGGAGAAAAGTGTGCCTGCCCCTGACTTAATGGGGCAGAGAACTGACTATTTCGAGAATTTGCCTTTTCTGAAGGCTGACTGCTTCTAGCCCCATGGCGTTTCCAGCTCTGCCTGTGGGGCTGGCCTGGGCTCAGATAATCCCCTGTGACTGGCCGTCAGAGCAGTGGAGCTCCTGAGGCTGGTTCACAGCACCCAGAGGTCTCTTAACTGTCAACAGATGGCATGCTGTTGATGGACCAGAATCCGTCGGGGACTGTGTCCCCCCCTGCCAACTCCCATTTCCAAGTTGGGAACTTCATTCGAGGACTCAGTTCTTGAGTTCCCAACATGTTGACTTTGCATCCATTTCTGTTTATCGAGGCAAAATCATAGCAGAGGTGTATAATAAAGATGCAAATGGAAGGCAGCCCAAATAATGGAAAAAGACAGATTTTTCAGCCCATCTGGGGCTTGAGGAATGAGGTTTTGATTTAGGATTGAAAGCAGTTCTGAAAAGCAGCCAGCTGCATGGGCTACAGTTTGTGGCCCTTTCTGAGTGCAGAGAGGAAAAAATGAAAAGGAGTCATGTAAAATGTATGCATTCAGTTCCTCTTAGACGGATAGCTCCCACTGTTCAACTGTTTAATAATCTGGGTGGTGCACATCCAGAGGTGAAATGAAGTTGTTTTCACTTACAAATGGTTATTTTTCAATGTGCTAAGTTAACCTTGAGAGAGAAGTGCCTCTAATCTCTGTTCCTGGTGTCCTTTTAAAGCTTTTGCTTCATGACTGTAGCAGTTAAAAATTTGTCGCAGCAAATGTGATTAACAGAAGTTTACAAAGCAATGCTGTAGCTTGTGTCATATTAAAAATTGCCTAACGTTTATCTATTGTCAAAGCAACAACAATAAACAACAAAATAAAAGGAGAGCAAATAGGTCAATGTGGCATCATAGGCTTATCTTAGATAAACTAGTTCCATCATTTCAGGCAGTCCTCAGTCATGCCAGGATTAAAATATCAAGCAGGCCACTCAGACAGTGGCAAATGTGTCCGTGTGTTTGTGAGTCCAGTTGTTTGTTCAGCAGCCATTTTACTTTCGCACTGTAATAAACTTAAAGGGGAATTAAGATAATGCTCCCCCCCTCCCCCGTTGCTATTCAACTACCTCTATATGCTTGGTTTCTCTTTAGGGGTTTCTTTCTTCCAAATCTGTAAAAAATGCTGTTTCAGCTCATCTATGTTGTAATAACAATGTGATTGATATAGACAGTTGCTGTGAAAGCTGTTCATTCTTTAACAGTGTTTCCTATCGTCTCACTTTATATCTAACAAAGCTCTACCCATAACCCTAGGGTGAGAATTACCTAAATAAGTTATCATTTTGTTGGAAGCTGAATAGAATGGAAAGCTATTGGACCATCTATTTTGTTCTTGTTCCTGTTGCTTATAATACATTTGACCAGAAGATCTTTCAAGGAAGTAGACCTGCACTCAGACAGTAAGCTGTCATGTATCTGACAGTGAGGCCGGCGTGAGCTAGTTAATGTGACTGATGTGTTCTGAAAACCTGGCCATAAATCGTTTTTTTAAAAATGCATAAATTGTTTTTTTAAAAAAATCTTGTTATTTAAAGACTTACGTTGAAGTGTTTTGCCAATAATCCACCCCTAGTTTGTAAATCCGTTCATATGTTGGGTTTGCTTAAAGCAGAATACACTACCTACTGTTTTCTTTGCCAATATAAAATGTTTGTGAAAAGCAAGTTACATGTTTTTATTTGCGTCAAAACGTTTCTCCACAATAGGCTAAAGCTAAGGCCCACAGTGCGAACCTTTGGACAGGAAAACTGGTAAAACTGAGCTGGAACAGTGAGCAATACTGACTGAGCTGAGTCCAGCAAGAGCGATTCAGCAACATCTCCTTTTCAGCACCAGTTCTAAGTCTGCTGCCATCGACGACCTTACACAAGTTCTGTCTTGCCCCTGGAAAACAAAATACAAGTGGAGTGGGACAAATTAAAATGATAGCAAATCCCACTTGGCTTGACCTTTGTGTAACAGGGTCTTTTGGGTAATTGAGAAAGATGAGAGCTCCTGACCAAGTAGATCCCAGAGGAAACGCTTGGCTCTGCTGGACTTCTGTGCCCAGTCCACCACTCTCTGGTGGTCAGGAGATGGAGTACACCCCGGCCAAAGGCACAGTCTTCCCTCCCAGGCAGTCTGGCCCAGAATGCCTGCCTAACTCTCTCTGGAGAACTGCTCTGGGTCATCCAAAAAGAAGGTCTTGTTTGCAATTGCCCTCCAGGCCTTGAGCAAAGCCAAAGCCAACAGTTTCTGCTTCCTCTCCTCTGGGATCCACTCTGGCTCCGCTCCTGTGAGTTCTCTATAGAGGGCCAAAGATGCCTCCCTGGAAGGAACTCCCCCAGGCGCCAAATGAGATCAGAGCAAGAGAAGGAAAGAACAAATGCCCTAGACCCACAGCCTACCAGATACTTCCACTTTCCCTTCCTCTCTCCGATGATTTCATCACTCCCAGGAGGAGCTGAGGTGGGACGGGAAAGGGGCCCGTGTCAGTACTCCCAATGTTGGCTTCTTCCAAATAATGCAGTAATTTCCCAGCTGGCCTTGTCCACGTTCAGCCCAATGTGAAGGCATGCCCTGGTCAAGGCAGGAGAGTGCAGGCCCCGAGGAGCCCTGCCTCTGGATCTCTGAGCCCCCTTCTCCCACCCTTTCCGGTTTTCTGTGGCTGCCTTTCCCTTTCCAACCTATCCTGCCATTGCCCAGCCGTCCATGTTTACTGCCCACTTTGATACACATGTACTAGCAAATAGCATTGTTACGTTAGAAAGCCCCGAAAAACCCTTTCCTCCACTTACGGAAGTGCTGGCCCCAACCCTCCCTGCAGAGTGCTGCCTAGCTTCCAGGGAGGCCCTATTAGCCATTTCTGGATGCCACGAAGTGCAGCAAAT